TTTTTAATTTAAATATATTCACAATTCGTGTAATAAGAAACATCAAATACACTAGGTAGACACAGAATGATGTACAATATATATCTCCCATATGCTCCATTGTATGTATGTATTCAAAGCCCAGTCTCATTCAACGGCTAATTAAATAATAATAACAAAAGCATTACTAACTAAAAAGAAGTGATATATCAATTGGGTATCACAATGTTTTAACTGATCAGTACAGTTGCTTGTATCGTATGTATTAAAAAAAATAAACAATGCTAAAATACAATATCATCCCAAAAATACAAAATTTCACATCAAATAATCTAACATAAACAAGAAGAAAAAACTATCTTTTATCAAATTTTATAATTTTTTAATATATGCATGTCTAAAAATGAAGCAATTTACGAGAGTATTTTTTTATACTTTTATTCAATTCATAAATAAAGCAGTTGTAAATAATTTTCATTGTAACTATAAAGGATAGAATTTTAAGAAATAGATACAGAATTAGCATTATTATGCTTTATACAGCAAGCAATATAAAGACAACAAAACTAAAATTTCCTAATTTACTGAAACAATTTACAATAAAATTAACATATACATAAAAATCCCATTATTCAATATGTCACCCCAATTTTAATAAACTAACATGTCGGGTATCTCACATTGTCCAACTGTAACTCGGTGCATAGCCATTTCAGTGATACCGTGATAATGAACGAAAGCACCCCCCAAAACAAACATATGGAAAATCTGGTGTGAGTGGAACCAAATGTCAAATTTGCCTGGAAACCAGCGCTCAGGCACGCGAAGCGCGTACATAAGTGCACCCATAATGTATAACAAACCCATTAGACAGAGCCAACCCAACGACTTTTGACTCATGTAATTGCTGAACCAGCCTTCGACTACTCCATAATGAATTGCTGGTACAATTCCTGACAAGCCGAACGTCATAAAAACTGCTGCTCTGAAAGGTCGCCACGCTGGCTCCGAGAACTTATCCCACAAGCTAACCATTATGCTCGTTATGCCGAGTACACAAACAACTGATAAATAAACGACCTTTGGACGGAAATGACAATAGAAGCCATAATAAAGCCATGGAACAAACGAACCTAAAACAATAAACAAAATCAATATCGCGAATACTGCAAAGAATGAGGATGATAATATTCTAGCAAATGTTAAACATGGATGATTTTGGGAGAATTTATGAAAAGATATACTAGCTTGCTTTGTATGCTTTATGTAGTGTTCTATCGAAATAAAACAACAGATAATTCCATTATTGAGTAAATTCTCGTTATGTTGTAAGCTAACTTCAAATTCATTATTTAAAATGTTCTCTTTTAAGTGCCGTTCCACATGCAGCGTATGATTAGGACGCACACGTCAAGACATACAATTTAAAGAAGAATCTGCTTAAATATGTGATTTTATATGTAGTACGTAGGATCAGTCCGTTAAACCCGTGTTTTCCAGCGCGAATCATTGTTTATAGTGAGTAACTTCACATGAGAAGTAATGATCAGTCTCTTCAGACCCTGTTGTAAATCATTAATATACAAGGTGTTTCATTTAAAATAAGGCAGCTGATATATACTTCCGGTATATCCGGAAGTCCGTCAACTCTGAAGTTATTTTCTGCAGATGGATTACTTGATTAGGGTCATTTTTTATTGGAAACATTTTCTTTCAATTTCAACGGCTAAAGAGAAAGGCGGGCTTAATAGACCACCCTGTATAATAATATTTAGATGTGATCCCATTGTTATTTTAGATTAGCAATATTCAATTTTCTCGCAATATTTTTTATTTTACTTCATTAACACATCAATGCAATGCCATAATCAAAAATCATGGTAGAATTATAATTACAATTTATGAAAAACACAAGTTTAATTTTTTAGGATAGTCAGGCTACATTTATTCATTAAATATTTATTTCTAAATTCGCTCGAGTTTGTAACACTATTGTATGTATTGTGTATTGTGTATTTAACCTTTATTTGACCTATACATTGTTGATTGTCGGAGTCGTCACAGAAAGGAACGAGATTTTTTGTGGTCGAAAAAAAACCGATACGATTTCTCTGTAAAAATATTTTAACGTTGAACACAAAGAAACAGCATGAATTCATCTTAATAAAACTATTTAAGTATGCAAACTTTATATTTTCTAGAAATTACTAAATAACTCCAAAAAGGTACCACGCAAGCAAAAACTATTCTTAACAAAAGTGTTGAAATGTCATCGTGTTTGAACATTTTAATTTATTCAGTAGAAATATTAGTAAAGATTGTGCTTCGTTTAAGGTAAATTTATTTTGTTTTA